ACTGCTTTCTAATTATGCTGAGTAGCGCAAATAAATAAATAAGTTTTGACAAGAAGGAAATTATATATGCTAAGAATGCGCTGAAGATTAAATGCAACAATTTGATTATCATTCAAAAGGTCTATTTATCCGGTAAGTAGCCAAAGCGTGCTTATGTAGAAAGTTGAATGAACTGAGGATGGCTGAGTTAGTGACAAGGGAGAGCGTAGACTACGTACTCATTTACTCACATCCCTTGTTGGACTTTTCACCGGTCTTTTAACAGATATCTTGGGATACATAGATGTTGCCACCGATGCACTATCCGGTGGAGGTCTTTCCTAAAATGGACTGTGGCAAATCAGAAAAGTTGTGTTTGAATGGGCTCAAGAAAGGGGCGTCAGCTCGGTTGCCTACATAGTTGGTTTCTCATCTGTTACAACCTCGTACAAAGGGATATAATTAATCATACATAGGTGAGAATGAACAATGAGCACTTCAAAGTATGCTAGAATCTATGGGAAATACAAACAAACCCGATTGAGTACGGTGACTACTGGCCGTCGAATTGGAGGATACATTGCTGTAACGAGGCTCGAACTAGCCGGTTCGCCAGGAGGAACAACGCTCGGAGGAAACAATGTCGACTGATTCTGAAATTGTGCCAGATCAACATGACATGGGACACGAGGCGAAGCAAGGGGGTCTCATGCGATTCTCGAGACACAAGTAACCTGAAGGTTGACCGACCGGCTCTGTCCGATTCGCAGTGGCTGAGATTGTCTGCCTCTCAGCTAAAGGTGGTTCGGCTTTGAAGAGCGATTCAACAGTGACCTTCTCCTTCTTACGTCGTTCATCTCTTCGATCATCCTCGAATTTCTTTTTCACTGGCGTCGTTGCTTCCGCGCGATCCTCCTCCTCGATGCGTTCATCGAGATCTTTCGAAAACATAGGCTGTTGTAACCTAAAAGTAATAAAATTTGTATTTTGTAAGCACCACTTTCAAGTAGGTAGTTCTCAGTCCTATATTCTATTTTTGAAGCAAAAAAAGCCGTTGGCATTTGCTACAATTACGGTCCCACTTTGACTGTACTGTAAGGGTAAAATAGGAAACACATTTATTTATTTCTGTTAATATGATCTACTTCAA